TATATATATATATATATATATATATATTAGATTTTGTATAAATATATATAATATATATAAATATATATAAATCTTGTATGGTATATATTCAGTAGATTCCAGAAAAAGTTTGATTATTAACAAATTGAATCATTTAATTATTTTATTATGAAAAATTATAAACATAATCCAGAGTTCAAAGTTTTCATACGAGAATTACAAATTAATAGAATTTTTTTTACTCATATTTTGAAATATTGCTTATAAAAGTTAGAATAAGTTATATATATATCAACATTAAAAATTTCTGGCAATTATACTATGTATAAAAATTATGAATGTATACAAAGCAAATATGAATAAAACATCAAATTAATTTGCCAAACACACTGAAAACATTAAATTTTACATATGCATAACTTTTAAATTGTTGAATTGCTAGAGTTAAGAATAAATAATTTTTAAAAATGATTCGTTAAGTAATATTGAAAGATGAATAAATAAAAAAATCATTAACTTCTAATGTACAAAGAATTTTTCCTTTTTTGTTTAAAACATTTTTTTATAATTTCTGTATTTTTCGAGATATATGCTTTAAAAAATTAAAATATATAAAATACAATCTTATTTGTAAATGTAATATTTTATTAATTGTGTATTTTTGTATTAATTTTATTAGAATAATCAATAAAAATTACTGCTATAGAAATAAACTTCTCAATATTACACTTGAAATAATAATTGACAATACTTATATAATGATGTGAAATATATCATATACTGTGTTAATACTTACATAAATTAGGTTAGGAATTAAAAATTATTAAGTTTTTTTGTGTTTTTTAAATTTCAATGAATAAAAAATGTTGAAAATAGGAATTCACTAATTCAAAAATTATTTTTATTCATATATAAAATTAATTTTTTAAAATTTAATAGGTTAAAATGTTATATTGATTTGTATTTACAAATCGTTCCATGAATCAAACTTAACAATTTTCAATATTTCAAAATAAATTTTAATCTTTAATCCACATATATTTCATAGGATTATAAATATTAAAAATTTGTTAATTCTAATATTTTTCACAAGTTTCACAATTTTTCTAAATTTATTATTCAATAAATATCACTGTACTTTAATTACAAAAATATTTATATCAAAGTGACTATATATTATATTAATTTTTTTTAAAATTTTTATAGAAATAAAAGATAGTTTCAATACAGTATAATAATAATGAGAGAATAAAAATGAATGGAATTAGTGTTTCTGAAAAAAAACGATTAGAATCGTTGAAACATAAAAAACAATTTTTAAAGCCAAAGAATTAGTAGTGCAAAATGCATTGAAGAATTTGGTAAATATATTTAAAATTTTAAGTTTTTGAGTTATTGAATATGTTTTATTTAGTATTTATTCTTTTAGGATAATAAATCACATCAAGGAAAAATAATATTTGACGATGATATTGATAAAATTGAGCAACTTAAAATCAATGAAAAAGAAAAAAAGAAAATATTATTATTGATAATGATGATAATGATGATGAAGATAATATTGATATTAATAAATTTAAAATTAGAAAAAAAGTAAGCTTTTTATAATATTCATAATTAATCTTAAATTATTTAATTAATAATTTTAATTCTTTTAGCATAATATTATTTTGGAAATGATGAACGATTTAAACTTGATAAACGTTTTATAGAAGATCAAAAATTAATAAAAATATTATTACAAATAATGATGAAATTGATTTATTAAAGGAAAAGGAATTACAATTAGATATATTAGAAAATATTTTGGGAGTGCCAATTACTTCAAAAAATGAAAATACAAATAAGGATGTAAAACTTTTAAAGTATGAATAAGTAAATTAAACATATTGATAAATTATTGATAAATAATTATTTCTATACTAATTTAATCTATTTCAATATTAGTTTAAATTTATTATTAATTATTAATTAATTATTATTAATAATAATATTATTTATTTATATAAATATATTTAAACATGTTTTTTTAGAAAAGGAATGATTAGATATGATCCTACAGAAAATGATCATAAAGAATATGAAATTAATACAGAGAAATCTGAATTAGAAACTAAGAAAGACAAAAAAAGAAAAAAAATAAAATTAATAATAATGTCTTAAATGAAAATCCATCTGTAGAAGTGTCTAAAGATGTATATTTTTCAATATCAGATTCATTATCAAAAAGTTTCAAAGAAGAAGGACAATTTAGTCTACTGAATACATATAGAAAAAAAATAAATAAGGAAAAAAGTTAATTTCTGTATTATATATTAATTAAAATATTTAATTATATTATTTTTATTATTTATTTTTATTATTACAGGAGATGATAATGATAAAGATAATTATAATAATAATGATAATGATAATGATAATGATAATGTGTCAAATATGTTATTAAAACCTCAAAAGATTCACTTTGATTTCAATTCAAAGAAGTTATTTAAATATGATTCTTCTGATAATGAAGACAATAATAAACAAGAATATATAAATAATGAACAATATACACACCATGAAATAAAAGGAACAAATAAATTTTTCTTTGACATTAATGATATTCGTTTTAATGGTTTGTATTTTATATTAAGATGTAATATTTATTTATGAATATATAATGAATATAACATGTTTATTAAATTTTAGAGGCAGAAAATTTCTTTTCAAAAGAACATGTGCCAGAAGATACATTTAAAGAACTTAGACAAGAGTTAAAACAAATTATACGTTCAAAAATTCGAAAGAATTTGAAAAAAAAACAATCTTGGGGATATAAAAAGAAAATAAAAAGAAAATAAGAAATCTTTAATGTGTAATTTTATTAAGATTTTAAATATGTATAAGATGTTAAATTTATAATGTTTTTAAAAAAGAGAAATAAAACTTTGTATGAAAGTGTTATATAGATTATTTTATATATCATTTAAAATACAAAATATCTCATTTTTTTAATATGAGATTAATTTTATTTTTTTACTATTTACTTCTCATTATATTTCATTACTGTTGAACATAATATTTATATATAAATATAAATACTTATATATAATAACTGTAATTTTTATTTATTATAATAATAATTTAATTTATATTTTTGAATTATATAATAAATATTTTTAAGCTAATTAAGAAATTAATTAATTTTATTTTATTAAAATTAATAATTAAGATTATCAAAATATTATATAAGTACAGAAGATAAATGCATTAAGAAGATTAAATTATTAAGCACGTTTTTTTTTCATGAATAAATAAGGTATATAAATTTATTTCACTAGATTATTTTTTCTTTACATATTATTTATTATTATATTTTATTTATTTATTATATATTATATTATATTATTATTTATTATTATATTTTCTAAATATATTTTTTAGATGACTGGATCAATTTTTTTTATACATATGATATTAATATAATCATAATATTGAATAATACAAAAAAAAATAAATGTATTATTTATAAAACTATTATTAATGTATATACATAATACCATATTATTTAATTTTTCTTTTAATATTTTAAATAATTTTTTATTATAGATGTTTTAAAATAGAGATTTTAAATAAGTTCAATATAAGAATACAATTTTTAAAATAATTTTATATTTTAAAATATTAAAAATATTTTTCTCTTACAGAATTTCTGCAATAATATTCTATTTTTTTTCTATTTTTTTGTAAAAATAGTAAAAACTCAATATAAAATATTATAATTCATTATAAAAATACATAACATCTATATACATATATCTGTTTTAGAAGTTTCTTTCAAATATTTTTATATAATTTTTTTCAAATCTAAATCAATTTAAATAAAATAATTAAATATTTTAAAATTTTCAATATTATTTATATGTGTTTTTATTTTTGTGAATAAATTTCACTATCAAAATACTACAAATAATATCGAAAAAATTAACAATGAAATTTTCTTACAATAAAAATAATCGATTCATAAGATTTATTGATTACGATATGATTTTAAATGGTAAGATATAATAAATAGATCATTATACTTTTTTCAACTAAAAAAAAGATTATATCATCAAAAAATTATATTTCAATCGAAGATTTTTTCTTGAAATCCTTGATGATCATATCAAATCCGATATTTATAAAAACTATCGAAAATTAGTAAAATGAAATAATGCAATTTATGAAGTGCATTGCAATACCGTTTGAATATATATATAGTAATTTATTTTATATTTTGTAAAAGATCTTATAATTCTGCATAGATATAATTGAAATTTTCATTTTATACGTTTTGATAACGATACATTTAAACTTTCGTCATACATATTCCATTCAATATGCAATTGTTTTGTATTATAATACATATTTTTTTCATATTATTTGTGTATTATAAAAATATGATATTTCATTTATCTCATGAAAAGAACAAATATTTTGTGATCAAAAAACAACATGTTCAATTATAGTCTCAAAAACTCATATTATAGTAAAAAA